CACTGATGATTCAAGCGCGAGTTTTGGGCAGTGTAGAGTAGCGCTTGTTTCTCTGATCACAAATGCAGACAAATGGTTTTATGTTTACGCGGCACAATATGCAACGCAACGCGTAAAAAGACAGTGTAAGTCATTATAATCAGTAATTATGTCCCCACTGGATGCAACAATTGCCTCGTTTGTAATGGGTTTTATTGTTTTTGTCTCGTCGCGCCGGCCGGGACACGGTATCATATGTTAAGGGGTGTAACATTTCCGTCACACGCTTGAGGTATTCGGCCAATCACAACGCACTGGATAGCTGGCCAATCAGCGTACACCTCGCTTTTCAGACCAATGAGCTTTGTAAAAATCGATGCGTTTCAGAAAGGCGGGGCATAGAGGAGCATGTGGAAAATGTTTTTTGAACCTTAAACCACATAAACACATTGCATTACACCAAATACACAAAATAATGTTCTTTTTAGCAATGTCATATGACCCCTTTAAAATGTGTGATTAGGTGAATAAAAAGGCATTTTGTAAATTAACCAACATACACTTTTCTGATACATCAGAGCAGGTTGCCAAAAATCATGCCTCATTCTTTAAGCTTGTCTTTTTTAGATAAATCATTGGGGTTTATGCAGTGAACTAGTGATTTATGAATAGACAGCAAATTAGAAAAGAACACACAGTTGTTGATACAACTGATACGAAACTGATAAATACATTATTCTGACTGGAAATAATGCCATTATTAATACGTTCTAAGCATCAATGGCAGTGCTGCCTTGTGTGATTTTGTTAATTCTCTGATCTCTGATTCACTGACATTTTCCAAATTGCATATAAAATGAGATTCACAAAAGGCACACACACACAAAACAAAATGTTTTGTGTTACTTAATGGAGTGAATTGGCATCTATTCCCATATATTTTAAAAAACATTGTGATTTGTGTGATGCATGATTCTGCACTTTTGATAATGCTAAACATAGTTTTTTTGTCCCCTAGAGATTTTGACTCCCTCTCAAAAGAAAATGTCTTTGAGAACAACCGTCTGGTGAGTATGACACAAACCACTGACCAAAAACAATTAAATATAGGGAGGGAATGATTATAATTTAGACTGTTGTTAATATGTACTATTAGGTAGAATCAACAGTTAACTGCTGTCAGTTCTTAAATTGTCTTCTTTTTCAGTACTGCTCTTGAAAGAGGAAGTGGTTGCAGCAAAACACCTATGTGTGTGTGTCAGTCATAGTAATGCTCGCTTTTTGTTAGTTGAGCTTTTTTTTTGTCTATTTGTGAGTTTGCATAAGCAGCAGTATAAATGTGTACATTGACTAAAGTTTGATTTTATATATATATATATATATATATATATATAAACTGTTTTTGTACAGATGTCTAAGATTTTGACTCCCTCTCAAAAGAAAATGTCTTTGAGAACAACCGTCTGGTGAGTATGACACAAACCACTGACCAAAAACAATTAAATATAGGGAGGGAATGATTATAATTTAGACTGTTGTTAATATGTACTATTAGGTAGAATCAACAGTTAACTGCTGTCAGTTCTTAAATTGTCTTCTTTTTCAGTACTGCTCTTGAAAGAGGAAGTGGTTGCAGCAAAACACCTATGTGTGTGTGTCAGTCATAGTAATGCTCGCTTTTTGTTAGTTGAGCTTTTTTTTTGTCTATTTGTGAGTTTGCATAAGCAGCAGTATAAATGTGTACATTGACTAAAGTTTGATTTTATATATATATATATATATATATATATATAAACTGTTTTTGTACAGATGTCTAGTTTTTATTGTGTACAGATTAATTATGTGTTTAAATGTTCATAAAAACATCTTAAATGTAAGTTGACATTGACTATAGCTCCAAAATATAAATGCCAAATTGTCAACTGTAAACTGTATGGCCCAGGGGTGGCGAACTCTGGTCCTGGAGAGCCGCAGCCCTGCATAGTTCAGCTCCAACCCTAATTAAAACTCACCTGCCTGTAGCTTCCTAGTAACCTAGGTTATACATGTATTTTTATGTATAATCATTTTCTATTTTTAACTGTTTTAAATTCATTTTAAATCAATTTTTAAATCAATTTAAAAGTTTTTAAATTCCTTGTTTTATTGTTGTTATTATTTTTTTATGATTATTTTACTTGCTTTTATGTAAAGCACTTTGAATGACCATTGTGTATGAAATGTGCTATATATATATAAGCTTGCCTTGCCTTGCCTAACCGTTCAGACCTTGATTAACTTGTTCAGGTGTGTTTGATTAGGGTTGAAGCAAAACTCTGCAGGGCTGCGGCTCTCCAGGACCGATGTTCACCACCCCTGGTATAGCCATAGTCTTATAGCTAGTGTAGGACTTAGATAAGTATTTTTTTTTATAACAACCATTTGGTTGTTATTATTGATAAAATAGATGTTGATCACTGTCATCTGCTATTTTAAAAGCTTATGGGCAGCATCATGACGAAAAACAAGATATTATTTATTTTTATTTTATTTCATTTCAAAGGCGTTTGAGGTTGCTGAGAGTGAGTTGGGTATTCCAGCCCTGCTGGATCCAGAAGACATGGTGTCCATGAGTGTGCCTGACAGATTGAGCATCATCACCTATGTATCTCAGTATTACAACTACTTCACCAACAAATCTCACAGTGAGTATTGAGCACTGCAAATAGATATGCTGACTTAAACTAACATTTATTTACACACACAGAGAGACAACTGCAATGCATTTAGGGCCTTTTTATAATCTCCCCCAATGCTTAGTAAATCAAAAACTTCCAGCACATTCTGTGTGAAGTGTCAGTCACATACAAATTACTCTCATGAGCCAATCCATTAAGATTAGATTCATGTCCATTTTGTACAACTCTTAGTTGCAGATGTGAAATGACTACAGTGCTGCAGTGTTTTTTTCTTCAGTATATTTCTGTATGCAGTGAGTGCATGTGATGTCACAGAACATTGCAAGTGTGACTGAAAGTGCAAGTGATTCGCTGAGGTATTGTAACACTTGGTTCATTTAAGCAATCTCACATTGCAGTAAATAACGTATATTGGAAAAATGAGAAAAGAAGAGATCCAGTGAAAACAGAAAGAACTAGGTTCTTTTTGACATTAAATTTCCAAACCTGATTGTGTTAAGAATGATTTGGTTTGCACTACGCCTCACACTGGGTTGCAGTTTTAGGATTCATGGACTTTCATTGTTTAGCATGGCGTGGTTTGGACTGATTTACACTGTATTAACCATTGGGTGGTGCAAGTAAACAAACCAGCTTTGCTGTTCGAGAAAATTACTTGTACAGATTAGTTTTTTTTATATTTAGGTTTATGAACCTATGATTTTTTTTTAAATCAAGTTTGTACTGCTTTTAGCTTAGCTATTTTTCTGGTGTAATTGACAGTATGTCCCCTATGCTGTCAATAGAACTCGAATTGTATTGTATGTTCTTTTAATTACATTCATTTAATGTAGAAAATGCTGGACACATGCTACTACATTTTTTATCCTCTATTTAGCTGTCTCCACAAACATAAAGAGCCCTGGTGGTCCTGGTCACATCAAACCAGCCATAAAGAGACCATTTGCTTCTCCAGAGGGCCGTGACGCTCAGACTGAGGTAAAGAAGACAGCATTGTTTTTAAAAAACAGACATTTTCTTGTTCTGATTATCTGGGTGGCTGTAGACCTAACAACAGTCTGTATGTGCACAGACAAATTTTCCAAAAATTCACACTTTTAACCACATTTAAGGATTTGCTGTTGCACCATGAGTGGAGTGGAATGGAATTTATTATTACAACACAAGATGGAGAGCAGTGAGATCTCATTTTGGCCTAATTCCATGTATTCAGAGCAAAGTACTCTGCTGTTGCCATATTTTCTAATTAATTTATGAAATCAGCAGTCAGAGCCAAATCACATATTTGGTTTTTGGTAGATATTGTGAGCTGTCTGAGTTCAGAGGATTTTGCTTCTCCAGAAATGTTCCCCCGTCCTCCTTATACCTCCCATTCACAGACAGAATTCTCCTCCTTTTCTTTATTTTTAGCTTTCCATTTCTCTTTCTGACTATGTTTCTGGTCAATAAAATTGGTGGGTCAGTAATTGACATCAGTAAAATTAGTTTCTCAATTTGTTACTTTTGGCATCTGTATTGTCATCCTGTGTTTTCAAAGTAATTTTTTACATTGTTTGCTTTTTGAAGAAATTTGTACCAATTTTCTAATGCCATGATGTTAAGTATGTATGTAGTTGGTTTTGTATACATATTTATACAGTCCAAAGTATTAACAAAGTACAAAAAAATGAAATAGGCTATGGTCCCAAATAAACATCAGTGGTTCTTACCATTTTTTCCTCTACTTTTCCATGTTTTTTTTACCTTCCATTCTCAACCTGGTTTTCGGTGATACGTAGTCTGGTGCAGATAGCCAACCAAAACGCAGTACTCTAAGCAGCACCTGTTCAGTCTGTGGAAAGCATGTTCACTTGGTTCAGAGGATCCTTGTTGATGGCAAACTTTATCATCGGAACTGCTTCAGGTGAACAACTGGCTAGCGTAACATCCGCATCTGTATTGTTCTATTATTAAAAGCTTAAAAGTAACATTACTTATTATTCCCTCTGCTGTTACTGTTATCACTGTTTTTGTGAGAATTTCTGATTTTCTCTCAGATGTAAGGAATGCAGCAGAACTTTACTGCCTGGATCTTACAAGTTCACAGAGGATCCTGGATCATTGGTTTGCACACACCACTTCACCAGATCTGCCTCAGATGCCAGTCAGAATGGTAATTCAGATATGAGTAATAAACTAGCCAAACTAACCTCAACAAGCCCAGAAGACCCAAACAATAGGAGTTTAGAATCTAAAGCATCACACAGCGATGCTGAGATCACCCCGGAGAGAGAGGAAGAGGAAATAACTGAAATAGAAAAAGCATCAAGCAAGCAGCCAGATAGCAGATCAGAAGTCGAGACAGAGCACGGAGCGCCTTGTTCTTCTAGTCCACCAAATCCCTTTGATGAATCTGAAGAGGAGGATCAGGACGCACAACAAGAAGACCACAAGCCAGCCGCTAGTGGGGCCAATGGTGATGAGCCAACAACGTCAGTGAAGAGTACAGCAGCAGAGGGTCGACCGGTTCCAGCACCTAGACGGGTATTTGAGCCCACCCCTGCTCCTCGCCCTGTCCCCAGACCACGCCCACCCAGACCCTCTGTCAATGGTGAGCACTGATGCTTATCTCGTCTGCATTAATAACATTACACAGGCCATACTATTACATGTTGTTTACATGTTTTTGTTAAATGTTTTTTTTAAATTATCTGTTAATTGTGGTTCTAGGAGTTTCTGACACTCAAATTTCTCAAGTTCCTGAGCCAAGAGAAAGATTGCACTCACCTGCTCGGTAAGATAATTGCTGGCGTCTTCTCTACTGTATCTCTTATTTTCCATTGTTCGGGTTTTGTTTCTGTTTCACGTACACTACCGTTCAAAAGTTTGGAATAATTAGGAAGTCCCTTATGCTCACCAAGGCTGCATTTATTTGATCAAAAATACAGTAAAAACAGTAATATTGTGAAAATTATTGCAATTTTTGGTAACACTATTTCGATTTCCACTTTAGACATTCTACTAACAGTAAGTAACTTTGCAACTACATGTCAACTAGCAGTCATTAGAGTATTAGTAGACTGTCTGCTTAATAACTTCTACCACTTTATTTTGATGAGCCCACAACATACTGACTATGAGAAACTTTGCAAGTATATGTCATCTTATTCTACTAACCCTAACCCTAACCTAACAGTCTACTCTGAGAGTTAGTACATATATAGTTTTAAATTAATGAGAATTAGTTGACATGTAGTTACAAAGTTACTTATAGTTAGTAGAATGTCTAAAGTGGACAATCAAAATAAAGTGTAACCCAATTTTTTTTAATTTTAATATATTTTGAAATGTAATTTATTCCTCTGAATTTTCAGCAGCCGTTTACTTCACTGTTCAGTGTCACATGATCCTTCAGAAATCATTCTAATATGCTGATTTGGTGCTTAGTTATTAATAATGGTTCCTATTATTATCAGTGTTAAAAACAGTTTTTGCTGCTTTTAACATTTTTGTTGAATCTGATACATTTTTCAGGATTCAAAAGAACAGAATGTGTTTAACATTGATAATAAGAAGAAATGTTTCTTGAGCATTAAATCACCTTGCTAGATTAATTTTTGAAGGATCATGTGATGCTGAAGCAGGGGCGGAGCTACAGGTGGGCCTGGCTGGACCTAAAAATTTAAATATTAAAACAGAAAACCGTTATTTTAAATAGTAATGACATTTCAAATTATTACTGTTTTTACTGTAATTTTCATGAAATAAATCCAGCCTTCGTGAACATAAGAGATTTTGGTAACACTTTATTTTAAGGTGTCCTTGTTACACATATTACATGTTTTTACTATTATAATAACAATTAATTATGCATAATTACATGCAAGTAACCTTAAGCCAACCCCTAATCCTAACCTTAACCATAAAGTCAGTACATGTAGTTAATTAATATTACTCAGTGCTTAAATGTATAATTACACTGTAACAAGGACACCTTAAAATAAAGTATAACCGATTTTTTTCCCAAAAACATAAAAACTCAAGTTATATCTTAACTTTTGATCAGTCGTGGATCTCTATGTGAGTTCCTCTCAGTGGTTGTAATGTATTCCTTTCCCAGCTCTAACAAGGCCAATGACACTCCTAAACCAAAAGACCCACCCTGGCTGGCTCTTGTCCAATCAGAAACCAAGAAGAAACCAGCACCTCGCCCACCCACAGGTATAGCTATACCTCCCTGCACTGGTTCATCTCCTTCTCGAAAGGAGGAGGAATCAAGACCATCCTCTTCTCCAAATCCCTTTGATGATGAGGAAGAGGAGCCAGAAACGGCTCCTGAAGATCCCCCTGGTCCTGTGGTGGCTAGTCACCCTTGGTATGGGATTACCCAGGCTGCTGAAATCACAGCTGGGGACACAAGAAGACAAAGTCCTGCCCCTTCTGAAAGTCCTGTAAATGTCCGAAGGAAGAAGCGACCAGCACCCAAAGCTCCGAATTCTTCTCTGTCAGGTTAGTTGCTTACCGTGTCTGATACATTGATGGTACATTTTGCTTTACACAACTGAAGAGCTGGTGAAGACTGAATTTGAATTGTCCAACATAATATTCAAAGGTGCGCAGTCAATGGGACAGTCACAAGCCTCCCGGTTTTCATCCAAAATATCTTAAATTGTGTTCCGAAGACGAACAAAGCTTTTACGGGTTTGGAACGACATGGGGGTAAGTGAATAATGACAAAATTTTCATTTTGGGGTGGAGTAACCCTTTAACAGAAACTGGGAGTATTTATATATCAAATTATTGAGTGGTAAAAATAGAAAATCATTAAATTATGCAGCCACACTGGTAGAAACATGTTTCATATTCATTTAGAGTTATAATATTTTAATAATTTATTTATTAACTTCATCCTGCAGCCCTCTCCAATGTTTGAGGCCCCATGGTTGTGTTACACTATGTTGTAGTTGTGTAACTACTCTCATGTCTGTATTTTTGTTATATTTTTTTTTTCTGGGTTGTCTCTTTCCTGCTGTTCTTTAGCTTTTCCTTCATCTCAGACTTCCTCTCCTGCTTCTTCTTTAGCTCTGAGCACAGAGAGCCTGTCCTCCTCTTCCTCAGACCACAGTGCAGTCCCCCAGCAACCTGCTGCTAATGAACAGGACCATTTGTTTACCAAGAGTGTGTCTGAACCATCAATCAACGCTCCTGCCCTGTCCCAAAAAACTAAGCTTCAGCCTCACTCTTCTCCAAACCTGCCTCCTCCACCACCACCTTCCAGTACCAACTCAGCACCAGCTACTCCACAAACCAATCGCAGTGTGAGACCACCAATGTTCCCCTCTTCACACACACCCAGCACTCCAGGCAAGGTTAGATTTACTGTCAAGATCACACTGCTGTTCAAAAGTTCTGAAATCAGTCAATTTTTTTTGTATTGTTTCAATATTTTTATGTTATGTTATGTTGTGTTGTCTGTTCTGTTCACCTACAAAGTATCTACTTGATCAAAAATACAGTCAATAATTCAGTTAACTTATATTCTTATATTATAATTCAAATTAAAATGGTAAATTATTCCACTTATACCACAGTTACCACACCAAAACATTCTTTGTCCTAAAAATGTAGCTCTTGTCCAAACTCTTTTTACAAATTCAAAGGCTAATTCGAAAGTGGTACTGTTGGACTAGTAATGGATACTTGGCATGTTTTATGCAGTTATTGGACTATGGCAAAGAAAGGAAGTGTAAGTACCTACCTAAAGTGTTGGGCAGTAATGACACTTTCAACTGCTTTTAGTAGCAAAATATTTAAAGGGGTCATGACATGGAGAATCAAAATATGTATATGTACACATAAAAGAGGTTACTCTACAATAAAAACATACTGTAAGTTTCTTTTTTTTTCTTTTCTTTTTTTTTTTTTTTACAAATATTGGACCTTTATTTCTGCAAAAACGTCTGAAACTGCAGTTCATGAAGTAAAAAGGCAGCAGTAACATCAAGGGTGTTTGTGAGAGATTTCATTTAAAGTGTCCACATCTTTGATCCAGGAAAATCTCCTGAGTCCAGGAGCTTTCTTTTATTAATTTCTTTGTTCAGTATCTTTGATTAATGCTCTCATCGCTGTCATCTTCAGCGCACTTGTAAAGAGAATCCATTTAATCGAAAGACAACCACCTCTGTCAGCTCTTCTGTATCCAGACCCCCAAAAGGGCCCCGTCCTGCACGACCTCCTGCTCCTGGACATGGATTTCCTCTCATTAAGCGAAAAGTGAGGCACAGAAACAACCTCTTGCTGCTTTGATTGTTCTTTCTTTTTTTTAAATCATGAATATGGTTGTGTTTTGATTGTTTTTAGAAAGGAACTGTAACTATGGCACATTCATTGTCTTAATGTAATGTCTCGCATGAAAAGTAGTAATAATGTTTGAAAATGATATTAGTCTGTATACAAGGTCAGAAAGTATTTTGGTTGTAACCATTCAACTTTATCACCAGACATTTGTCTGTTACCACCCATATATTAGTGAGAGCATGCTTATAATTTCTTGTCCTGTCATCGTATTTGGTAGGTACAGTCAGACCAGTATATCCCAGTTGAAGACATCCATGTAGAGATGAGTGATCTGGAGAAACGGTTGGATGAATTAGAGCATAGAGGGGTGGATCTGGAGAAGAGCTTACGAGAATGTTCAAATGGTAAGAGAACTGCATGCTACAGAAGAACTGCCAAGATTGGCTGTGCTGATGAGATATTAATTAGCCAGGGATCAGATTTTTCCACCAGTAGCTTAGAGGTCGACCGATATGGGTTTTTCACTGGCCGATGCCAATGCCGATATTTCGAAATCAGGGCAGCCGATGGCCGATATATGATGCCGATTTTTTTTTTGGCCGATATGTTTGGCCGATTTTCTTCTCATAAGTGAGTTTGAGTAAATGATTATTGCAGGGTACAAGATAGTAATAGTAGTAGTAGCCTAATTCAGAGTAATAATACATGGCTCAAAACTTAAGCAACTTCTCCAAACAGTTCTGAAGCATGCTTCTTGTTTATGTTTGCTGACAGACACCAGTGTTTCCCACAGACTTGCAAATGCAAATTCATTCTCTGCCAGCAGGGAGATATAGCGGTTTCCCCAGTAACGGCTGTAATCAAATAAGCGCTGAGCTCACAAAGGCTATTTTATCAGGCATTACATGAAAGACTAAATGAAAATGACATCGAAGCTTTTCTGAAGACGGTCGGTTCTTTTCAAAGATACATTCATATAAAAACACCAGCGCTGCATTTTAAAGGGTTAGTTCAGCCAAAAATGAAAATTAGGCTGCGCTTTACTCACCCCCGATGCATCCTAGGTGTATATGACTTTCTTCTTTCCATAACTGCTTAAAGAGTACACTGGCCACGAGCGAGAAATTTAATAATTAAGTGTAAAATAACACTGCATAGTGTTCACTGTATGAATTAAATCTGTTCAAACATAAGGAGGAGATGCGAAAGACGAATCAACTCTTTCTGAAACACGTCTCTTCGTGTGCGCGCGCGCTTTGCACGTGTGCGGCAGAACCATAGACTGTTTAAAAACAGGGGCAGAACTGAAGAGACGCTCCCCTTGTCCAAATACCCACACTTGCGGTCTTGGCCACTTGTGAGCGCGTGCGCGCGACTGTCCCAGGTCTTAAAAATACCAAAGCGCAGTGCCCTTAAAGCACACTAAACCCACACTATCTCGAATAGCGCTCCGGCTTAGGCCCAATCCCAATTCTATTTTATCTCTACAGTAGCTCATGATCAGTGTCCTGGAGTGGCTCGATTTACAGTAAATGCTGTTTCACACAAACTTCTTGTCTGCAAACACAGCGAGTTTGGCTCACTTATAACATACATTTAAACACAAGACACACCAACAATCTTCCCACATTTGTAATAAGAATTGTTTTCAAATTTGTTGTCAACAAAAGAGATGATTTACGGTCTACTGGTGTTTTTCTGCCAAAACAAAAGCTCTGTAGTTTAACATTTGAAAGAAAAGAAAATAAGACTGTATTGTATATATTGTAATTTTACTTTTGTTCTGTAAAATTTAATTAGGTATTAAATTAATCTTCATTTTTCTTTATTGATTTGTTTTTAATCATTTCAATAATAATAAAATAAAATACATTTTTAATAATGATTAAAATTATTATTATTGTGTAGCTATATTAAATGGTGAAAAAACAGGTTTCCCTTTGTTTTTAGTGAAATTGTTTGTTGGTGTATTATTACCATCTTTTATCGTGTGAACAGTAATTTCACTCAGCCAGGTAAACTAAAGTTTTCTTACTTTTGGCTCATCTGAAGAGAGTAGCAGATCATGTAGTTTATAGAGGCTGATTAATCTGAGACTGAGCTTCAAACTAAAAACTCAAAATTTGGGCTAAGCTTCATAAAAATAGACTCTGTTCTAACAGACTGTCCCATTTCTGGTTAGAACAGAGCAATGTGTGTGATCTTGGGCATGGCTGTGTTTGAATTACTGGATTTGAGTGACTGTGATTTATCATTTTAGATGATGAGGAGGAACATCTACTTGTTGACTGGTTCACTCTGATTCATGAAAAGCACTTACTGGTACGGAGAGAGGCTGAACTGGTCTACACGTAAGTGCACTATTAGCATATGTTTGAAATGCTGTAACATCTGTAACAACTACATTGACATTGGCCCCCCTTGTGTATGGTATGGTATCCATTTGCAACCTCTCCAAAGAAAACATATGATGCAAAACGATCTCAAACTTACATTTATAGTTGAGTAATACATATCATTAAAAACGTTGGAACATCAATTTAATGACACTACAAATGCTCACAGCTAGTCCTAGAGAGAAGGATGAGACTCTCTTTACCTGCAGAACCTCTTTCTGGGAAAAAAAGAACTTTATTTGCATGCCCTAGAAGATGAATTAGGAGATGTTGATTGAGTTTGCATGGTTTTTACAGTTTACATGTTAGGCTCTTCTGTTACTTATTTATTTTGTAATCCTTTCAAATGTTCTGTCAGAGTGTATCTATCAGTATATCTGATGTCTGTTCAATGAAGTTTCAGCTTAGGCTTGTTTTACATATAGTGCATAAGTTGTCACCGTAGACACACAATGCATGAGCGTCAAGTGAACGTTTTAATTTTTGGCACCATTATTAATAGATTACAGCATCCAGTACCAAAGCAGCAGTATGCGTTTAAGTTTCGGCATTCACGTGAATTCACGCCGCTCTGACCGCTCTAGAAAATAAAAATGGCACGAGACTAGAAAATTCAAGAAAGCAAATAAAAAAACTTTGAACTCTGAATGTACACAATTGAAGCAACCAACACTCTGCTGGTTGGAGATTTACGAAAGCCATTATAAAGTGAATTTGATCCTCATTCTTGTGTACATAAGATTCCACAACAATCAAGTTTCAAATAGTTATGTACATGTATAATACTTTTTTTTAAATGTATAATTTTTATGCAGCCACACTGGTGCCAGAATGCTGCCCACAATTTGAGAACCACTGCCATAGCAAGGTGCTACAGTTAACAGTCAGGCTCTTGCCAGTTCCTGTTCATTGTGCAGTCAATATAATAATATACAGTATGTCAACCTGATATTTTCAGGATCTCTACACAGAACAATGGAGGTCAGTTGGGTTAAAGTTAAATATGAAACAGGAATAAATCTGTCTGATTATTGTCTGGATTTTAGAGCCAAGCAGCAGAACCTGGAGGAGAGGCAGGCCGATGTGGAATATGAGCTTAGATGTTTACTTAACAAGCCAGGTATGAAACAAAACAAAAGCCTTTTCTTTTGAGTAAATCCTCTTCCTTTCTTTTAAATATCAGCCATTTTTATTCCATCTCTCTTTTATATCTCTCTCCCAATTGCTTACATCTCTGATAGAGAAGGAATGGACAGCTGAAGACAAAGACAGGGAAAAGCAATTGATGGCAGAACTTGTCACGATAATTGAGCAGAGGAACCAGATTATTAACAGCATAGATCTGGACAGACAGAGGTAATCACTCAATGCAAATGCATTCTGATTCAGAGCTCGAGTGTCTCTGCTAAAATGGTTTACTGTAAATTTAATATGAAATAGAAAGTAATTTTGTCATTAGTATCAAGTTTAGATTCTGTTTTTAAAGAGTTCATCAATTTCTTCTTTAGGGAGGAGGAGGAAGACAAACTAGTAGCTGATATGCTAAAGAAAAAAGGTCAGTGTTATTTCTCTTTTCACTGACTCTCTCACTTTACACCTCATTCATGCTTTGATTCTTGAATTTCTTTTCAGAGTTTCATGGACCGGGTGAGCAGAAGAAGAAAGCAGGGAAGTTTAAGCCCATGAAGGTTTTGAAGAGACTGAGCACCAAGAATGAAGGAGTAAAGGACAACAGTCCCCGAAAAGAGAACAGCTGAAGAGTAAACTTACTGAAGGAAAATGAAAACAAAAAAGATATACTAAAAAGATTTACTAAATGCTTTTTAAGTCTAATTAACGCTTTTGAATATATTGCTATAAAACAGAGCTCAAATTTGTCTTTGAGGTAGTAGCAGCTGAACTGATACACTGCACTACTGCAGTACATTAAAGTAAAAAAATAACACTGTCTTGGTCAGATACGACAATTATTTTTAATTTAAAAAAAAAATCTTGAAAGGCTCAGCCAAATATATAATCTTACTTTAATCTCTACAGTACATTTTGAAGTAAAAGAAAACTGATACTGAATGTGATTGACATGACATTGAGAGTCCCAAATTTTAACACATACCTTTCTTTTAAACTCATCGTTTATGAGATGAGAAGCCCATTAGATAGTATGACATTTATTTTTGCCAAACTTAATTTAATCTTGTTCTCTGAGTTTATATTTATTTATAAATGGCATGGAGGTACTGCTACTTGTGTTTCTGTTCACACTGAAGAGTTTAAAAAAAACAACAACAAAAAACACGTAGTGAATCTTTTCAGGCCACATTCAGCCCTTTCATTTTATTAACAAAGCTTTGTTGAGATGAAAGCAGAAATGAATTGCCAATCTTACAGTCTATAATATTGCTAAGAGAGAGTGAAATGCATTTCCATCTCATGAATGCTTTGTGATTTTTTGAGTAACAGGGATTTGGTGTTTTTTGTCTGCCTGGGTTTGGTTGCACCAGCTGTGCTTAGTTTAAAAAAAAGAAAGAAGAAGCCTAGTTTAAAATGGGCATTGAGTTACAGTTTACACAGTATTAAATATTCGACCATTAAACTTGGTTCAAACATAACTGAACATAGATATATACAAAATATACACTAAATAATGACGGAAGCCTCCGACCACATAGCAGATTTTTAAATTGCATCAATAAGCTCATGTTTTACCTGACAGAATACAGTGCTTTAGACATGTTTGTTTGTGTTGACATTTACATTTGTTTACATTTTAAAAAAGAGAATGTTATGTGAATAACTGACTTGCAGCTCTCCAGCACTTAAGCAGATCTGAACAGAAAAACAGTATTGCCTCAGTATTTATTTATTGCTCCTTTTGTCATTTACAGTGTTACTTACAATGTTATTTACAGAATAGTCTTAGAAACGTAATTTTAGCATTAGTTACATGAGGCAAAAGAAATTGGAATCAATCTTAAGACGATAAACTGAAGTTGGCGCAGACGGCCTTGTGGGCAGCGCGCCAACATATAGCGCCATTGCGCTACGGGCGTCCCGAGTTCGAATCCCAGCTCGAGGACCTTTCCAGATCCCGCCCCCTTTCTCTCTCCCCCACTTCACTTCCTGTCGCTTCTGCACTGTCCTATAGTAATAAAGTAAAAAAATGCTGAAAATAAATCTTAAAAAAAAAAAAAAAAAAGGATAAACTGAAAATCGCACTTCTGCTCATGAATTTGAAAGCTGATGTTGAATTTAAGGTAAACAATGCATTAATTTTACGATTTACTAGCATCTGCTTTCAGAACCAAGTTACAAAGTGTGTGGACTTTATGTTCCAGTTTAAGCAAGAACTCATGAACAGCTGGTGCAACCATACCCTGGACAACATTTTAATATACACATTTTAATATGATTAATATTGATTTATACACCACCTGGCCAAAAAAAAAAAAAACTCTTATTTTTAAATTTTAAATACTCTTTTGTTGAACCACCGTTAACTTTGATTACAGTGTGCATTCGTTGTGGCATTGTTTCAACAACCTTATGCAACATTCCAACATTTTTTTTATTCATTTTTGGCAGAGATCATGTATTGACAATGGGAAAGTCAACCCACTCTGTAAAGTCTACTCCAGCACAGTGAGGTTAAAGTCAGGATTCTGTGGTGGCCAGTTCATGTGTGAAAATTATTCCTCATGCTCCCTGAACCACATTTTTTCACAATTTGAGCCCAATGAATCTTGGCATTGTAGAATATGGCCACTGGATACATCTTCCAACATATTTAAGTAATAAAAAAAACTACACACTGCATCAGTTAGGGTTAAAATAAATATTGGCAAATATAACATGCCAGAAATGATGAATACTCCAATAATGATGAATCCAACTCCAAACAATGATGAATCCAAATCCAAAGTATTTGCTTAATATACTTTTAATATTGTTATAAACTTCGAAAATATTGTTAAATGATATTGTTATAACCAATATCATTGGTTATAACCCTATGATGAATTTTTTTTTAAATTAGTTCACAGCATAACTTCATACTAGCAAAAGCGAAGTGTCAAATTTAGGTTAACCTATCTAAAAGTGTAAGAAACCATCAAACTTGTAAATTAACTTTGAGCTTGTTACAGACTGACCAGACAGCTGTTCAGTCTGAAGAATCGATGACAGATGAACATTAAAATAAGAGGGAACAAGTCTAAACCAAGTCTAATAAAAGAACAAAAAAAATATATAAACTATAACTCCGCGCAAACACACAAAATGTTAACTCTTAAGGTTTTTCATGTTAAGCAATAATAGATGTTCCAAACACTTTAGAGACCCTGGATGAAGATTATGCAATATTAAGTTTTAATTTAAAATGGTTTATTTTCACTGTAGAATGTCACATGTTGTGTGTTGGGACTTAATCTCTGTAAACCCAAGCAGGAGTGTATTTCTGAAGGAGTGCCTTTAATCTGTTTAATTTATGCATATGTCCTAGCATTGGCTGTTGAGTGCCTTTGACTATTTTGTTGACATTTCAGTTTGTGTGTCTTCTCCAAGTATTTGGGTGTTTAATTGTATTTATCAGATTTCAGTATTGTGCTTGTTCTGTCAGAGTGTATGTGTGCCTGATCAACTCCAAGGGCTTTCTGTTTTCTCTAAAACAGTCTGTGCTTTTAGGATGGAGGACATTAAAAATAAACCTACTTAAAAGAAAACCCTCTGAAGTTTTGACCTCTTTTGAAAGTAATTTTAATGCTCATAGATGTCTAACAACTCATATTTTCACCTTCTCTATCCCTCTCTTTGCTTTGTTCCTTTTTTCCATCTAGCTTGAGTGTGCTTAGTTCTTCACTGCGTTTCCTGTCAATCTTTTCAAGTTCATGGATTTTCTGTTAAAAAATATCAGACAGTTAGCAGCAGTTTAGAACAGTTTTGATTATAAGACTAAAGCCGGATACAGACTGCATGGTTTTAGCCCCGGTTTTTACTCGCTGACAGTTATGTGGAAATCGCAGACAAATGCTTGAAATCTGAGGCAAATCAGTGTTCGTTCATGTGAGTGACAATCGTGTAGTGTGAATTATCAAAAACGTGATCTGATCCGTTGTGAACACAACAGCATCAAGATGGTATTCCAAACAGTCATGTTGTGTGAGAAGATCAGCGATCCGATGGCTTTGAAAATCAGGCAGTGTGTTCCCGGCATTAGAAACAGCTAATGACCACACAAGAATATAAAGATACATTAAAAAATGGACATTTAAGTGTGGTACCATAAAACGTCAATGAAGAACTTGCTAATTTCTCAGGTTTTTGAACTGAAACTGCAGGTGCATGTAAAAACTGATGAAGGTTGGTGATGTTGCATGGTAGTATTGGCTTCTATTGGTCAGCTTATGTGTTTGTATCTTTACCTGGGAAATCTCTGTGTTGATGAGGTGTTGGTATTGGTGACCTTTTCCCACTGCCATCATGTCCTCTAAAAACTGCCTCCTCTCCTCAATATCATCCAGAACTGTTGGTAAGAAATTACATAATTATAGTTTCCATGTTACCATGAGATGCTGATACTGAGCTCCCATTAAAATGTCTTTGTAAACATGACTCTCTCCGTACCCCTCTAAATTATAATAAACTGAAAGCACGTCAATCTGTGGCCACCACAAAAAAGGAAATAAAATTGAAAAATAGAACATTACTTCTATCGAAATAATTTCGATATTCAATTACTATAAATAAAATATACATTCAGGTCCCTTAGATGAGATGGATTCAAAAGAACAACTTTTATATACTGCCTGTCTCACCCTCTTGGAATCGATCTATCTGTTGCTCTTTTCTCTCTGTGGAATCTCTTTGGGAGTGAGTTGGCCCAACATCCTTTTGACCAGTAGAAAAAAGATTTTGTAGCTGTCTCTTCTCTTTCTCTAGATCTCCTAGAAAGAGAGACAAATCAGCAGAGATGAATAGAAAAGTCTTTCCTGTTACCCTTGAAAACACTTGCATAAAACAAGAAAAATTTATGTAAGCCTATATATGTATACAGACAAGGCACACTTGATAGCTGACACTGATGATGACCATGCATGGATACATTTTAATATACTGTAATACAAAGACTGTCATTTTCTATATAGTTCTTATATTGGGGTGAATATGGGTAAAGTAGGACATATTTATACAAATTTCCTTAACTGGTTATAAATCATTATTACTAAATTTATCTTTGGGAAGCATTTTATTACATTGCTAGGTTTGTATGTTAATGATCTCACATTTAGATGCTGTGGCAGAGTTAACCACAGACAGGAAAAGTAATAGTACGAAAAATGACAATCTCTAAGACAATAAGTATAAGACAAAAAGAAAAAACACTACACTACAATTTTTTAACTACTTAAATGTGTTAATGTTAATGCTGATTTAAATGAATATATTAATAATTATTTAAGCCTGTTGCAAACAAAAACAAAATCAGCTACATTTAAGAACCGGACCCCATCTAACTTGAGAGGAAAAAAGCGCCCCACTTTGACACTATGTGTTGTAAATTATTGTATTGTCTCAAAGAAATGCGGGTTTTGATCAAAGGAGAGCTTTCAAAGATCTTTTCCCCAGTAACTCTCATTTCTTAATTTTTACTTTTGATAAGGTAAGATATCTTAAGCTTAAGACAAAGTTATTATGTCATGCTATGCTATTTGAATCTTAATTAAAAAATAACATTTCCCACTTATCAATATTCACCGGTTTTTGCACTTACGTATTGGTTTAGGCTTGAACTGTTCTCGTTTGTAATTATCTCCAGCACGGCATCTTTCTGCACTGCGTCTCTGCTGCTGACCAATCAGTGCGGTCACTCTAGTGACTCTGGGCTCTGACTGAACACTGGGCACAAGCGGCGTGGGATCAAATGCTAGTGGAAGAGCGCCGCCATCTGCTCAAACAGAAAATAGTGTATTAGGCATAAAATATGAACTCAGTTGTTATGACAGTTGTAGGATATTATAAAATCTGTCACCTGAACTCACTTTTCAGCTGATTATTGATCTGCCTCTGCTGAAAGTCTGTTAGACGAGACTCCTGCATCATCACTGCAATGAAACAAACCCACAGGTAGAGCCATAAAAAAAATAAACTAAAAGAAAAGATGCATTAGTGCTGACATGCATTACCACACACACACACACACACACACTTTGTATTAATTGTTGTGTCTCTGTTCTGTAGTGATTGACTCTGGGCTCCTTATATTTTGATCCGCTGGCCATCATTCCTGCAAAACAAAAACAATTAAGTATTCTAGACAAAGAGCTGGCGTTGGTATTTTGGGCATCAATACACAAGCGGGTTACTCACGTTACCTCACATAAACGAGAAATAAGCAGTGAACGCAAAATAAACCGAGTAGTTGCTATGGTAACACAAGCAAAACATACAAAACAAAAATTAAGTCTCAAGGAAAAAACCGAAACCACATGCGTAGAGTGTTTATAGTTGCTTTTGAGATGAGAAATTCAAATAGATTGCGATCTGGTTCAGCAGTTTTGTAAGGCTCCATATAAATGTTCTCTGTCAACTCATGTTTCGATCCTGTGATGTTCCTCTTCGCTTTATGGTCCATGATCGGGGACGAGTGCACAAAAGTGTGACGTTTCCAGCGAACATCCAATCACGTGAAACGATGACAGAGAGCAAGCGCTGGTCACTTTTCCGCTGAAGATCAATATATCATTATAAAGAACACGAACTATTTGAAAATATATAAACTGTAAATAAAGTCTATTATACTAAGTAAAACATATTAAAACAGTAAGTTAAATAAGGGAATTAAAAGTTGTCACAATCCGTTTGTGGCATTGGCTCTGGCCCTATTCTAAAAGGCACACACAAAAAGCAAAATTCTGTTATTATTTACTCACTCTCATGTCCTTCCAAACCTGTATGAATTTCTTTTTTCAGCAGTATAATCATGTACCTGAGGTTGCAGGTTCAGGACTGAATTTAAAACCAGATTATCTATTTATCGAGGTTAAGTTTTTACCTTTATTACATCTAATACAGTAAAAAAAAGTCAGTTTAAAAGTAAATATACATCAATAACATAAATACTTATAATTGAATATAGTGCTATGAAATAGTATAAACTGTACATACAAAAACAATGGTATGGAATATATATATATATATATATTGTATGTGTATATATATATATATATACTGTATATATATATATATAATTAAGTAAAAAAATGCATACTAAGGGTTCTTCCCATTTTCTTTTTTTAGCATTTTAGCTGGCTTAGGCTGATGATACAAGGGGCAACTTTTTTAGAGCAATGTTAATGGGGACTTTCCCATTGAGAAAGGGTAACAAATTTCTATCCGATACTTTAGATCGGTTGTGGGTCCTGTGTCTCTCCTGGTTGCCCGTTGACAGAAACATTGCCCAAAGTTGCCCACAAACATTGTTCAAAAAGTTGCCCCGTGTGTCATCACATTTAGGAGTCAAGGGAAGGATGTAAGGAAAGGAGGGATAGAAGGAAAACTTGTTTGTAGCCTATATTGGAATATTCTTGATAGCTCAAGCGTCACTTCAAAGCTTCATCGGCTGTTATTATGTTATATTAAGGGGACATTTATTTATTAACAATAAAGATTGTGTTAAAGCAGCTTCACAGAAAAAAAACAGGAAACTATCAGAATCAATTTTGGAAACTCAACTATAGAGACAATTCAGATTCTGCTGTAAAGCAGCTCTAAAAGAGACAATGCTCTCATTATTCAACTCATGCAGGTCAGTTCAGTGTTGGTTCAGTTCAGCTCAATAACAGTGTGAAGTTCATTAGTTTGAAACAAATTCAGTTCAGCTATAACCAGTTCTACAAAAGCAGTAATGCTGTTACTCAGTTTGAGTCAGTTCAGTGTTGATTCAATTCAGTTTTGATACCAGTGTCGGTGTTGTAAATGCAATTCAGCTATAAAGAAATTCTACAGAAGACAATAGTGCCATCATCCAGTTTATTTCAGTTAAAGTTTTGTTCTCATCCGATGGTGTCAGTCTCTGCGGTCATATTGATAAATTACTGAACGTGAAGTGTCTTTCAGACCCCAACTAAACAAGCCACTGTTCTGTTCAGTGTTGGTTCAGTTCAGATCAATAACAGTGTGAAGTTCATCAGTTTGAAGCGAGTTCAATTCAGCTATAAGCAGCTCTACAAAAGGCAGCAATGTCGCTATTCAGCTTGAGTCAGTTCAATGTTGATTCAATTCTGTCTAATACTGAATTCTAATGTTTCCCGGTCATGGGCTAGAAGATAGAGCGAGGAAACTTCTCCATCTTCCAGACCGAGGCAGAGTTGTCACCTTAAAGAGACTAAGTACTGAAAGAAAGAAAAAATCTACATGTATGGGTGACCTGCGAGTATGCACAGTTAAGCCCAATTTATACTTGCACAATCGAATGCCTCAAAGTATTCTTCATTCAGTGTGCGCAAACACAGGCAGTCAACACATGCACAATTGAAATAATTATACAGAGAATGCATGGTTGGAAAAAATGGGGCTTTGCTGATGACAAAATTTGCATCATGTGCACTGAATGCATACTCTAGTGCACACAAAAACAAAAGTGTGAGTGCGTTTTCACTTATGACTACATCTTCTTGAGTTAATGTCATAATGATTACAGTCATTTGGGGCACTTTTTATGAGAAGTGTGTGATGGGTACGAAAAATGCTAAGGCCATAGTATCTTCATGCACACTGCCTGCAAAGTCATTAGCTGATAGGGCAGCGAGGCTACTATTCAGTTAGCTTTCACATGCAGCCTAAATATAAATAGACCATGGCCAATTCCCGCTGCCAAAGGGATGTTTAAGAGCTTCAAGAACACTCACAAGAGGGTGCAACTTGAATGGTCTTTGTTTCATTCATTTCCCTCAGAGAAATTAGGTTACAGTGGGTAACATGATATTTTTAAATGTGCTGTAGAAATAATTATGATTGATTGAGTCCCTAATCAAATATACCTGACTCAAATCATCAGCTTGTTAGTAGAAGCTCCTTGACTTAAAATGGGCACATCAAAATGCAATTATAAATGCCATTTTGCACCCTTAAAGAGCACTGTGGGAAGGGGATAAAGTGAACTTCCAAATTAAAGTGAGCAAATTAACACTTTTATAAGGGCCCTCCCCCACAAGGCCATATATGTAATGGTCACTTCAAGAAAGTAATTTTATCATTGATGTCATATGATGCGATTTCAAGTTTTCCTTTCTCTTTGGAGTGTTACAAGCTGTTCGTGAATAGATAAGCTCCCTAAAGTTGCAAAGACTAAAGTCTCAAACCCAAAGAGATATTCTTTATAAAAGTTAAGACTCGACCACGCCTTCCTAAAACGCCTCATTTAAACACGCCCCCACATGTCTACGTCACTGTGTGGGAAGATTTGCATAACACCGCCCAAATGTTCATGCAAAGAAAGAAAGCATAACTTTGATTCTCGCTGTAGTATTGTTGCTGCCACCGCCATGTCATGGAGACACTGTGTGTTTCGTTGTGAAAGCTAAACTACTTTGTTTGGCCTTCCAAAAGAGGACACAACTAGAAATCAGTGGTTAAGTTGTATTTACAACACTGTTCCAGAACAGTTCAAACCAAATATTCAGATGTGTGCAGCGCATTTTACGGAGGACTGTTTCCTGAACCTGGAAAAGTAGCCTACAATGCCGTCTACACACAAAG